TATGGCATCAATGCTGAGCATTTGAGACAGAAGTTCAGGGCTCTGACAAAGAAACCTGAAGAGTCTTACTCTCAGTTAGAGGCAAACTTGACCAGATATCTGGACAAATGGCTCCAACAGGAGGGAGTTGAGACAGTACAGGATATTAAAAACATCATTGGACTTGAGCAGTTTTATTCACTCCTACCTGGAGAACTGAGGTATCTAGTAAGGGACAAGAAACCCAGAAATCTGCAAGAGGCAGGACAGGCCACTAATTTTATTTCCCATATTAGAAAACCAAGCTTTTCTGAGGGAAAAGTTGTGAGGAAAGCTTGGGAGGACACAAATAAAAATCCCAGAGGGCAGTTTAAGAACCAACAGAGGTTGGGGGCCATTTTGTAGGCAAGCCCTCAGATCATAACCAGATCAGAAACCAGAATTTGGAAGGAAAAGGAGTTAAGAGCTCTGGTAATGATCAAATGAACTTTAGAACTTGCTTTCGTTGTGGGGAAAAGGGCCACATTTCAACCCAGTGTGGTAAAAACAGAGAAGTTGGGACACAAAAGGCAAATTTGCCTAAGCCTAAAGCTGTATACTGTTTACAGCAAGACCAAGTTAACACTCAGAGGGAGGAGTTGGGCTCCATGGCAACCCAGGCTGAGCTACCTACACAAGCTGAGAACGGAGAACCAGATCTTCCTGTGGCAGAAATTTAGCATTGTTACCTCATTAAAACAAACCAAGAGCTGTTTAAAACTTCTGGTGACAGTATTTATGTTAATAACAATAAATATATGGCTCTGAAGGACTCATGCTCTCAAGTAACCTTATGTCATCCTGATATTGTCCCTCAGGAATACATTTTGAAAGGGGAAAACATGAGTGTTAAAGGGATTGGAGAAGCAGCTGTTATTCTGCCAGTCACTGAAATACCCATCAGATATCAAGGGTGGGAAGGAAAATGGAGGGCTGGTGTAATTGTGCAATTGCCAGCGGCGGTTTTGATTGGGATTGACCTCTCTGAGCATGTGAAGAGTTTTAGTACTGACTCATTCCCAAAAGGAAAATGAAAGGACAGCTGAGGAAAAATATGAAATTCCTGTGGAGATAATGACAGACAATAGTGACCCAGCTGAGTTAATATAGCTTAGCAATCCCCAAAACAATACATTTACTCAGGAACAAAAGGCAGATTCCATGCTGGAACGCTGCTTTGAGAACATTACTGAAGAACCATTAACCCCTGAAAGACCTGAAAGGTTCCTTATAGAGAAGGACCATACAGGGAGTTCTTAGTGAATTCCAGGAAGGGAGGGGAAAATCTTCAGAAGCAGTTAGTGGTTCCTTTAAAATATCGTCAGAAAATGATAGAAAGGGGACACTCAGACGTGTTTTCTGCTCATTTAGGCATTAACAAAACTAAACAAAGAATATCACAGAATTTTTACTGGCTTGAGATGGGGAAGCAGATAAAAGATTTCTGTCAAAGGTGTGATGTGTGTCAAAGGCAGGGGAATAGCAACGATAAGACTAAAGCAAAACTATGCCCTTTACCAATTATTCCTACCCCGTTCCAACACATTGGTCTGAATATTATAAGACCATTGCCCAGAACCACCCAAAGGGGGAACCGATTTATTTTAACCATTATTGATTACACCACACGGTACCCTGAGGCCATTCCTCTGAGGAATATTGAGACTCATACTGTGGCTGATGCCTTGCCTAGTTATATGAGCCGTATGGGGTTCGCGTCTGAAATAGTTACTGACTTAGGATCATCTTTTACATCAAAGCTCATGCAAAGATTGTAGCAACTGTGTGGAATTAAACATGTGACTTGTGAAGCAGACAATGAAAAACATGACTTACCATATTGGGAAGGGATTTTCCTTTTTATAAAAGGTAAATCATCTTAGGTTAAAAGGAAAAAAGAAAATAAATATCCCCCTCTAGTGGCAGAAGGCGGAATAGCAGCTTCCCATTAGTTTCTATGGACAAAAAGAGCAGATACGGATTAAATGGTTTTCAATGCATTCCTATGGGAAATGCAGATTCGACTTAAGAACTTTTCGACCTGAGAACTGCCTTCCAATACGGATTAAGTTCGTAAGTCGAGACCCCACTGTACTGACTTAGGATCATCTTTTACATCAAAGCTCATGCAAAGATTGTAGCAACTGTGTGGAATTAAACATGTGACTTGTGAAGCAGACAATGAAAAACATGACTTACCATATTGGGAAGGGAGGGGAAAAGCAAAATATAACCCTGAAGAAGTCAGAGTTAGTCCTTTACTTTCCCCTGAGCAACAAAACGAAGTGAGGGCCTTGGTAATGAAATACCAACAGGTCTTCTCCAGCAAACCAGGGTTAGCCAAGGGAGTGGTGCACAAGACTGATACAGGGGATGCACCCCCACAAGCAGTCACTCCTTATAGAGTTACTGGGCCATATGTCGATAAGGTGCGCAAGGAGCTGGACAAAATGCTGAAGGAAAACATCATTGTTCCTTCATCCAGTCCATGGGCTGCTCCTATAGTGTTGGTAGACAAGCCGGATGGCAGCATTCAAGTTTGCGTGGACTATAGGAAGCTGAACCATGGAACCAAGCCGGATGCATATCCGATGCCCAGATTAGACGACCTAATAGAGACCATAGGGGGATGTCAATACATATCCTGCCTAGATCTAATGAAAGGGTTTTGGCAAGTGAGAATAGACCCCAAAGATCAGGAGAAGACAGCCTTCTGTAGCCCTTTTGGTTTATATGAGTTCCATGTCCTGAGTTTTGGATTGAGAAACTCACCAGCAACATTTCAGAGACTCATGGACAAAACCCTGCAAGGGCTTAGCGACTTCACAGTGGCTTACATTGATGATATAGGAATCCTTAGTCATTGCTGGAAAGATCACCTGTATCACCTGGAGACAGTGCTGCAGAGAGTGAAAGCAGCTGGGCTAACAGTGAAAGCTATCAAATGCCAGCTGGGTAGCCCCGAACTGAAATATTTAGGCCATATAGTAGGGGGAGGTAGAATCAAACCCCTAGAAGCCAAAATTGAAGCTATTAGCAACTGGCCTAGACCCACCACCAAGAAAAAGATCAGATCTTTTCTAGGGTTAGTTGGCTATTACAGACGGTTTATACCCAGATTTAGTGAAATAGCCGCCCCTTTATCTGACTTAACACGCAAGAAGAGTGCAGATAGTATCCAGTGGAC